AAGAAGCTGTAGGGGACCTATTGATCAGATAAACAGCACAAAGTACTGACTCTCCCCACATATTTTTAGGCAATCTCGAATGTAGCAACAAAGCCCTACCTTTTTCTAATATTGTCCTATTTAAACGTTCGGCAGAGCCATTCATTTCAGGGTTATAGGGTACTGAATAACGAAATCTTATACCTTTGGCCTTGCAAAAACCAGTAAAATCATTGGAGCAATATTCACTCCCATTATCACACTGGATTGACCCAATCCTGTATCCAGTTAAATTTGTCATAAATGCTTCATATTCTTTGAAACAATTATATGTGTCACTTTTATTTGCTATTAGATAAATGACAGTAAAATGTGTAAAATCATCAAGAAAGGTAACAAAATATTTTTTGTTGTCATGTGTACTAGGAGTTATTGGCCCACATATATCACTATGTATGATTTCTAGGGGTCGTTTCGTTACTTTTCTCGATGGTTTTTCAAATGGTAAACGAGTAATTTTTGATTGTGTGCAAATTGCACAAATTTCATTTTCTCTGTTTTCAAAATTTACATTTAAATTCTCTACCATGTTATTCTTAATAAGTTTCTCAAAATTTTTATTTCCGATGTGCCCTAACCTAGCATGCCATAGTTTAAAATTCTTTTCCTTTTCACATATATTAACTTCTCTATTAATTTCATATAGTACATCAAATTCAACAACATATAACCTATTTTCTTTTATTCCTTTAGCTATCAAATCAGAATTACTAAAAATGCAAACCGTATTATTTTCAAAAATTACTTTTAAACCTGAATTTTCTAGTTTTTGGACAGACAATAAATTCTGGCGCAAATTTTTTACATACAGCACATCTTTAATCTCACCTGAAGTTATTCTTTGCCCAACTAATTTTACATTAACTACTCCTACCTTGGTAGCACTCAGCGATTCATTATTCTTAGCAACAGCAATCTGAAGTTCCCCTTCTAAATCTTTTACCTTGCAAAAGTATCCATCCTGATTGATCATATGGTCTGTTGCTCCTGAGTCAACAACAAACTTGATTTTGTTATTTTGGAATGGCATATCTGGAACACAATTCAAGGCTATTCCTGCGGTTGCTATGAAGGCAATGTGCTCATCTTTTTGATTTTCGGTTGAGGCTTCATTTGCTTGCTTTCTGGCTTCACCTTGATTTAATAACCAACACTGTTTTCTAAAATGGCCTTTTTTTCCACAATGATGACAACTATACTTCTTTTTTTGTTCACCACTAGCATGTGGATTTTTCTGGTTATTAAATTTATTCCATTTTTTGTTGCTGTTATTAAACCCACTAAATGCTGCCACAGAAGATGGATCTTCTCTTTGTAGGTTATTTATACTTTTCTTTTTCATTTCTTGATCTAAAAGTTTGCCTTTGACAAATTCCAATGTTAGTTTATCTTGTTCCAAAGTTTCTAGGGCAGTGACAATATTATCATAGCTGGGGGGTAACGATAAAAGCAAATGGCACACTATATCTGTTTCTTCAAGTGTTGCTCCTACTGATTTTAACTCCCTCACAGTTTCCTCAAATTTTATAAAATGGTTTTCCAGTGTCTCACCTTTTTCTAACTTCATTGTTAGCAATTTTCTTCTTAAGTAGAGCTGGCTTGCAATGCCCTTCCGGTGAAACACTTTCTCAAGTGCCAGCCACATATCACGAGACGTTGGCTTATCTTTTATGTACTCCAAGTGCGAATTGGCGACGCACTGTACAATAATGTTTTTACATCTCTTGTCTAGCTTCACTTCATCTTGTGAGTTTTGATCTATGGCCCGTTCCACACACATTTTAACCCCATTGTGATCAAGCACAGTTTCTATTCGGAATTTCCAATGGTCATAGTCTTTACCATCAAACTGATGTATTCCAAACTTTTCAACGGCGTAATTATTTCCTGAGCTTGAGGCCATCTTCCACACAAAACAAAAGTTTAGTTACTTAATTCCAAACTTAGCACAATTTGGTTTCTGCAGCCCATAACCTGATGGATTCTTTGAAAGTGGAAGCACCAAATATAAGTTTGTGAATATCAATAAAAACACTACTACACTTTGAACAACGTTTTATTGATTAATATAAGAAAACTAAACTCAGCTTGACATTAAATTGGTTAAATAATTACAGCCACTTTACAGCCAAAACGTGGACTTACTTAAACAACAGAAAAAAACAAAAACATTGGCTAACCTTACAACATAACCACACATTATATTATTAACACCTTAGACAAGGACAGGACCGAACTTAACTTGGAGTACTCTAGACTCTATAGAACATGTCTTTTGATTGCAAATCCAACAAAAGACTTCTTAACATCACGGAAAAATTGAGAAAAGATAATTTTTACAATGTTTATGATGAAGTCTTTGATAATTGGTAAGCAGATGGAGTGATATCACTATTACCAAATAATAATGAACCTTTTGAAATTTTATGTCAGTCTGTTCATTTTTTGCCACACCATCCAGTTTACAAACCTAGTAGTGCCACAACACCTGTACTACCTACAAGGGTATCAATCTTATTGAATTGATCCCTTCCATGAATTTACGTTTTCGAACAGAGAAGTTTGGAGTAACTGCTGATATAAAAACGCATTTATTCAGATCAGCTTACAAGAAAGTGATCGAAATTTGTTAAAGTTCCTGTGGTATGATAAAGACGACAACTAAAAAATATTTACACATCAGGAGTGGTATTTAGAGTGCAGTCCTTTTTTATTAGTTATAGACAGAATGCGAAGAAGTAATCCAGAGTCGTGATGTTATTTCCAAATTAATGAAGTCTTTTTACGTTGACAACGTTCTAGCAAGCGTATATCAGATAAAGAAGCTCTAAACCAATTCATTGAACAGTCTACGTCAATTTTGGCTGATGGTGAATTTGAACTTAGAGGGTGGGAGTATTCTTTATCAGAGTATGTTGAAGTTGAAGAGAGAAGCAACATTCTTGAATTTGTTTGGAACAGAAATTTAGACACTTTGGATCTTTCACTACTTAACTCGATATACGATAAATTATTTTATCCATAACTCATAAGTTGGTTGACCCTATATTGGCTTTTCGTGTCCAGTTATGTTGATTCCCAAACTTTTACTCCAAAAGACATGGTCTTCGAATTTGGGATGGGAAGTTGAGATCACTGGAGAAATTCGAGAAATATTTTTGCAATGGCTACAAGATTTGCCATACTTGACCTATGTTAAAGTTCCTCGATGGATAGCTACAGATTTTAAAAAATCGACTACTCAGTCTTTACATGTCTTCTGTGATGCAAGTGCGGACGCTTATGCAGCTTGTATTTTTTCAAGGACAGAAGTAGATGAAAGTTAAGTTTGTCTAAGACTAATTGAAGCAAAATCTAGAGTAGCACCTGTCAAGAAATTAACTATACCTCATCTTGAACTTTTAGCTGCTACCATTGGTGTACTATTATTTCAAAACTTTTACAATAATCATGGAAGTTTTCTTTTAGTCAGATTGAGATTCATCAACAGTTTTATCTTGGATTAGCAGGGAAGACCAATGGAAACCCTGGAATCGTGTGGAAGAAATGAAAAAGTTTACCAAACCTGAAGATTGGAACCATGTTCCTGGTAAGTTGAACCCAGCAGATCTGCCTTCAAGAGGCTGTTCTGCGAAAGTACTAGCTGAAAGAAGATGGTGGGGGAGACCTCGATGGTTACTTGATCCAATTTCAGAGTAGCCAGGTCAAAATTTTGAGTGCGACGAAGAAGTTAGTAAGGAAAAAAAAAAGACTATAGTTTCTTTTTTGATTGTAAGCAAAGATTTTTCATGGTATTACCTGTATTTCTCAAAATTCAACCAATAGTCAACATGATTGCGTGGATGCTACGATTTGTCAATAGCTGCAGAAAGAACAATACCGGAAACAAGAATTTTTTGACACCAAAGGAATTAGAAGTGTTAAGAAGAAAGTTTTCAGTCCGAAAATGACCCCAAACTGTCACCTTTATGTCCGTTCATCAATGAAGATAGGTTAATCAGGGTACGAACTATAAGATATCAGACAGAATTGATACAAAAAACTTTCGTATGCCGTATGTTTTACCCTCAAATCATGTTGTTGTCAAACGTCTTATTTTCGAAGAACATTGTAAAAATAACCATGTTGGTATACAAGGATTGATGAGCATTTTACAGGAAAACTATTGGATTCTTTAATGCAGACGCACCGTTAAATCAGTTATTAATGAATGTACTATATATATGTAAACGTTTTAGAGGTAAATTGTTAAATACTCCTGCCATAATATGTTTACCGGACAACAGAGTACAAGATTTTTGAGAAATTGAAAAGTTGTCACATTGTTCTTTGTAAAATAAAAGTATTTTTGGGAGTAGTATCGGCTCTTGCTGCAAAGGTATAGCTATACTTGATAGAGATGGACTTTGAGGATGAAAGGCATTATCAGTTTTAACAGACTTTTTGCCTGTAAGATTATCACTCATCAGGGCTGAATTTTTCAAAAACTTCTTACTTTCCTCAGATCTTCACAAATCTTCCTTGAAATTTCTCTTACTTGCTTGGGTAAAAAGAGATTTATTAATTCCTTCACAGAATTATCACGAAACGGGTTTCGTGGAACAAACCTATAAATTTTCTTCAACAATAAAACCTAAGACACAGGTGTATAGCTTCAATGACTTATTTGCATATAAATTCAATGTAAATTTGCATCATTGTTGCCAATTGAAAAAAGATACATATAAGTATAAGTAAATTTTCGACAATGAAAATTGCATTCATATAAAACCCTCGAACAAAAATTAAAAGTCAATCAGAAAAGCAACAATCAAATTTACGAAAAGGAGAATTTATCGCAACAAGTGTCCATCACTCCATCAAGCAACTCCCGAAACCGGGAATTACTGGACGTGTGAAAAGTTGCGCGACTCTCCTTTCTCGCTCCCGCAAACAAATTGCGTAGTCGTTGGACCGTTTAAAAGCTCCAAACTTAGAAAGTTGCACGCTACAGTGTGTTGCGGCTCTAAACAAGAACTCTGAAATAATTTTATCGTTGCTATTAATTTTTAGTGTATATGGAGTTTTGATTGCGGTCTTTTTTGGAAGAAAGTTTTAACTGGTAAGTACAATGTTATAACTTCCATTTTAAGCAATTCCAAAAAGATATTTGAGAAAGTTGGTAGGTACATATTTCAAAAATTTGATTAACTTTTAACAAAATTAACTTTTTCGTTTTGAGCTAATTTACTATGTAAATGATAATTATTATTTTTCCCAATTTTACCCTCTTGATGAAAACTTCAGAGCTAATGCTTCATTCTTCATTCATCATATTTCTGAGAAACTGGTTCATAGCTGAGCTTTACCTACTTGCTGGAGCATGGATTCAGAAACCTACACAGAAGCAATCAGATGCCTTAGATATATTACGCAGAGTATAGTTATAACGCACATGAAAACCATTTTTTATTTTAATATTTGAACAATCTCTAAAAATTTGTTTTCCTTTAAAATACCTAAATCAAATTTCTCAAATATGACTTGTTGATCAAGTTATTTGGATTCTAAATGAAAAAATCTTCAAGAATTCCCAAGAGCCAATTAATCAGTAGGTAATAAACTTGAATCCGAAGATTTTCAAAATTTTTGCTCACTTTACAGGATGCTGATTGGCTTTGAATAAAAAATGGCACAAAATCCAAGAATTCATACTCAATGCGAGCCAATCAGATTGCTTAAAAATATCAAAAAATTGTTTCCAATTTATTCTGGATTCAATTTGGATTCTGAACCGGTCAAATTCCAAGAATTCGAGCTCATTATTCAAACTTTATATTTAATTAAATTAATTTTGCAATAATTTTTCCTTTAAAAACTCCAAAAATATCTAATATTATACTTCTTAGTAGGTTATTTCCATCTTCCCTCATACGACATGCATTCAATTTCTCAATAAAACATAAGTAGGTATTGTAACCGTTCCTGGAAATAATATTTTAGTATCCCGAACCTTTTTATTTTCACAATCTTATGAATTTTGAAGCACATTTTATCCCTGTTTCTCAAGTTTAAAGTGTATTTATTCAATGAAATTTTTGCTACAATAAAGTAAAGGGGCACTTTAAATTTTAACTATGTCAATTTTGTCTTAAGTATAAAAAGAAGTTTTTGATTAATATAATGTTTTATAGAAGTTTCATTATAACTAACGAAAATATATACATATTTTTAGATAAAAAAATTATGCATACAGCGGCTTTATTGGTAATAATATTCCATTGTCTGGTCTCGTCGTCTTTCCTGAGGATGGCCGCAGCCTTACCGATCGAAACGTCGCACGAATTGGAAAAAAGAAGCTCGAACCCGGATAGAATGATGACCGACGATTATCCAGATTACCAATTGGGAGTGAGATACGATGAATACCCGGTAAAGGATTTAAGTAATTATTGTATAATTAATGTCAAAATATTATATGCACAAGTGGGTCGTTATTTTTAGACTGGAAAATGTAAATGAGCTTCATGACACTATACAAATTTCCTAGTTACCTACTGTATAATTCCGGTTTTTGTTTTTGGAATTTAGTAATTAAATGAAAATCAAATGTGTGTCATACTAATAGAAGTCATGTACAAATATGCAGATTCTTAATTACAAAAAAAATAGTAGAGTGATCAACGACCTCCTTCTATTTTTTTTTTCTATCCAAATTCATATTTTTTTCAAGAAGACAGAGTCTGGTGCACGGGGGGTAAATCGCGAAACACAGAACGCCACTCAACGTTTTAAACGTTCTTCTGGCCGGAGCAAAAATACCATTTTTATATCTCTGTTGGAGATTGATTTATTAAGAAAATATGAAAACGCTTTCTCATTAACCACTTTGACATTAGTGGGAACAAGAATTCTCTCGCTATAAGAACCTTCACTAGAGTTTTAAAATAATTTCAAAGAGATTAAGTTCTATTAGGAACGAGGTCATAGTCTTGTTTGCATTTTAACTTTTGTAATATTAAGGTCGATTTTTAAATGACACAATTGGAAATTTATTGCCAGAGGTTATTGAAATCGAACCAAAAAAAACGAACTTATGGTTGCCCATAGATTTTGAACGTGCTTTCTTTCTAAACAATCGATAAAGTAAAATAATAGAAAAGCTTTTATTTCAAAAAAAAAATGTATCGAAAAAGTAAATATATATCTTTACAAAAAAAGCATTTATGGATCGTGTGAAGGAGAATTTCAGGGGTGCCAAGATATCTACCACATATGAACAGAGAATTATTACATAAATTCATTTGATCTAAGACAAAATAATTAATTGCGACAAAGTGGGAACTTGACACATTTCAATACTTTTTTAGAGATTTAAATCAAATATTCGATGATGCGTTAGAATTAAAAAAATAAAGAAATATGATCTCAGGCTATAGGATTTTTGCTCTGTAATTTTTCAATTAGTTACTGTTTTTCCTTCCGGTATAATAATAGGTCACACCCACCCTGCTCAATTTATCAAAAAAATAAAAACGTGTCTCTCAAATGATGCTCAAATTAACCTTTAAAAAACAAATTGGGTTCAATATTCTCGGAGATAAGTGAATTTTTCTCAGGTAAATGAGTTTTTCACGCTCGTTTTTTAATTTTTATTAAATTTGTCTTGAATTTGATTATTAGACAGAACGTGTTATTAAAAGGACAAACAAAAATAAAGTGCAGTCGTATTTTTCCGTTTATCCGATTTGTGCCTTGTTTACGGGGTTTTTATCTGACAACTGAAGGGAATTTGTAATAATGATGTCGGACGCTTTATTCTCACACACGTTTATAATTTTTTTCTATAACTTTGTCTGCAAATCTAGATCTAATTTATAACTTTACGTCAATGATCTGTCAATTATTTTCGTACGCCGCCTTCTCGAAAATATAGCAGCAAAGGAAAAAAAAAAATATGATCTATTCTATAAAACGATTTGTCACATTATTTGGATAAAAGACCGTTTTGAACCTTTCAGTATTTGATGGATGATAGTATTTTTGTATACAATAATAGTTGGATGTCCAGGCGACATTATGATTTTAGAAAAATAGAGATTTGAGATCTTAATGTATATTTATAAAAATCCACCCTTTAACTTAAGTTTAGGTAAAGTGCAAGTTTGAGGCTCAATTGCTCAGAAAGTATTTGAGCTATCAGAATCAATGTGAAACAGATTTATGAAGAATTTAATGCTCTTTCCAATGATATATGGTTTATGTCGAGGGGTAAACCGCTGAAAAAAATGTGTACACTAATTCCCAGGATTGTTACTAATTCCTCTAATTCCTCTCATTTCTTCTAATTTCCTTCTAATTCCCTCTAATTCCCTCTAATTCCCTCTAATTCCCCTCTAATTCCCACTAATTCCCTTGTAATTCCCCTAATTTTACTAATTCCTCACTAATTCACCAAATCCACCACGTAAACTTGGCCAACATAATATGGTGTTAAATAAATCAAGCCTAAATATCTGGGTTTGCAGTAGGTATTAAAATAAAAAAGCTGGAAAAGATGAACAATTTATTCTCACATCAAAAAACTTATAAAAGAAAATAAGAATACCCGTTATTTGTATTATAAAACTAAAGATTGTTTCTGGTACCTACATATAACAATATTGGAAAAAAAATAAAAAATTATTGTTTTTTAAATGCCTTATACCTGCTCTTAATATTAACTTGGTCTGCTCGTTTTAACTCGAATGGGCCTCCACCAATTAAATTAATAGGTCCGTAGAAAATAAAATCTTTATAAACGGTATCAATGTCTTCTTTTCGGGGCCAAATAAATGTGTCGAGCTCTGCTTTCAGAAACTTTATTTTATAATATGCGTTTCCTTTATCTTCAATTATTCGACCAATGAACCATGATTGGTCATAGAAAACCGCATAATAGTTTTCTAAATGTCGGCAGTTTCCGATAAATTTTCTGATTGACACGGCAACATCTCATCTGAAAACTCTTCCAAATCATCGGAGTCGTCTAGTTCCATCACGTCCCAATCAGTGGACGAGTCAGTGCTTGTGCCACTAGCTTGATCCATGGGTAGCTTCTGTTTAGTCTTTTTCAAGGTTGGCTCGGAGTTTTTGGAAGCTGATTTCTCAGGTGTTTTCCGAGGTGCTTTCCTTGTACTGCCTATAAATCTTTTTAATCGGTCAGTGCTTACTCTACCGTTGGACTGATCTAAAAGCCAGCAGTACGACGACTTTTTGATAATTGAGGTTTTTTTACCGATAACTACTTTAATATACGGTGATTTTTCCGATACAACATACACTTTTCCGGAAAAGTCTTTTAAATTTATAGAACCCGTTTCCAAAGTATCACCTTCGCCATCTTCATTAGAAATCTCCGAGGAAATATTCTCCGAAATTAAGTCCATAACCTCGTTCATAACTATATTGCTCTCATCACTAATATTATTTGTGTTTGCCACATCATGGTCAATTTCATTTTCTTCACAGTTCTCGCCAACTTCAACGTCGTCTTCGTTCATGTTTACGTTCTCCTGTATAACTCCGATATTTTGTTTCCGTTTTATCAATGGTACCTGCATAAATTTCCAATCGTTTTCTTTTGCATTGAGGCCGAAATATCTCATGTCCTCTATGACATTTTGTAGAGCTTCTTCAATTATAGCTTTGATATCCAAATTGAGAATTTCATCTTCACGTGGTAAATTTTCTTTCATCAGTCTGTCTTTTAATATTTTTTCTTCCCTTGCAAATGTGAAAGTCCCCCTCAGATCGTTTATGGTATCAATTGTTGTCTTAATTCTCTCAATTCGGTTCAGCATATCCTTTATACTAAAATTAATTATTGTGGAATATGTAGAGGTCATGGACCTAGCAGCTCGAAATAAGGATTCACATGCTTGGCTACCGAAAATATTGATGCTGAACATCTCTGGTTTCAACTCACCGCTTTTAAGCTTGAGTATTAGTTTAATTAAAGCATGGGCGTTAATCTCGATACAAAGGTAACAGTTACTTGTCAACAAGTCTGTTATTTTATATTTTTTTTCTGATTTAAGCCAGGATCTCCAGATTCTGGTAAAAAATACAACATACCAGATGTCATATAGTCTAGTACGCAAATCTGTGTTGGAATTTAGGAATGCCGATTCGACGTAGTACATAAGCTTAAGATACGCCACACTACCTTCACTTTGTGGAATTTCTTTTTTCTGTTGTTCAATTACTATCAAACTGCACATTTTTTCTGCCGATGCGAAATTCATCTTGTCTTCACTTCTGAGATCAGAATCTGTTAGAAGATGTTTGTCTTTTGAAACCTTCAAGATCAACTGTCTAAGATGATCAGAGGTGGCAGTATATTTCCCAATTGGCAAATTTATTCCAGGTTTTAGGAAACGAGTACGCATTTTTGTTAAAATATGGGTGGTGTCCTGTACATAACATTCTTCATTTTTTTTCAATGCTGCAGTGGTACCACTCCCAATCTGGAACTGGCAATGAATCAAGTACCTCTGTATCTTCTGGGTTTGTTTGGTTTCTTTCCTTATATTCAGGAGCTAAACGGGAAATCAAATCAGTATTTAAGCGCATAGCTCTGAGAAGGCGAGTATCGCCGTCTGAGGAAAATCCCATAATTGTGATGCCAAATTTTTTAGCTTCCTTCTTCATCCATTCCCATCTCAAAGTGACCTGTTCAGTAGTGAATGAATTATCAGTTCCGAATAAGGACAAGCAGTATGTTGATGCCCCAACATGTAACGGTTGTGCCATTATTACATAGGCATAATAATATGTTGCTTTTACTCCGGTTTGAAAATATGCCTTGATTCCTTCAGCAGAAGTGGCAGGAAACGTACCTTGTTGAGGCAGGCCATCCCTCAATGGTAAAACCAATCCTATTAGATTATTAGATTTGCTGTCATATTCAATTTTGCCTGTTACGCGAGTGCCATCCTCGGATACCCAAATCATTTTTGGTAAACCTCGATCAGTTAAGTGTTTTAATAGGCCTTTAAAATCAAATCCTCCTTCTTGTAGAGGCTCATTTCTAGTGTCCAAGAATCTATTTAGGGTAGAAATTGAAGGTAAACTATTCTCTAAATTTGCCTTTAGTGTTTCATAAAGTAACCTCCCCCCAATATAAAACAGGTATACTGCGAATTTTTTTGTAGCATCATCGTATCTGTTTCTATTGTTTGAGCAAGTGGAATTCTTGAGTGATAAATCCTGCAATGTTTTGAGTAATCGCGGTAACTCAGACACAGAATTATCAGTGTTTTGGACAGTTTCTATTTCACTTATGTTCTCCAAAAGTTCATCAGCTAGTCCACTATTTCTACTTACTACTTCACTCACTTTTTCAGCAATAAAAAAGTAATTCGTGATTAAACTTTGGTCGTCTAATAAGT